TGTGAAATGGGTGCAATTGTATGGTAGTTGGAGCATTCTTTGGCATTGCCCTTCTTTGGGATTGGGATGTAGACTGATTTTTTCCAATCCTCTAGCCACTGTTGAGTTTTCTAAACTTGCTGGCATATTGAGTGTAGCACCTTAACAGCATCCTCTTTTAAGATTTTAAATAGTTCAACTGGAATGGCATTACTTCCACTGGCCTTGTTGTTAGCCATGCTTTCTAAGGCCCACTTGATTTTGCTCTGCAGGATGTCTGGCTCAAGGTCAGCAGCCACACTATCTGAGTTGTCCGGGACATCCAGATCTTTTTGATATAATTCCTCTGTGTATTCTTGCCACCTCTTCTTGATGTCTGCTGCTTCTGTAATGTCTCTGCCATTTTTGTCCTTTATCATGTCTATCTTTGCACAAAAGGTTCCTTCAATATCACCAATTTTCTTGAACAGACCTCTGTTTTTCCCCTTCCTATTATTTTCCTCTTTATCTTGGTACTGTTCCATTAAGAAAGCCCTCTTGTCTCTCCTTGCTATTCTTAGAGGATTTATTTACTTTGCTGTAATTCCAAGGTTCCAGTAACTCATAACAGCTATAAACTGTATTCAAAAGTCCTTCTTTTTTGCAGCATATTCTCCTCTCTGGTTTCCCTAAAGACATGGAGAAAATTATGTGTGTAGGATACTGTCTCGTATTAAAATATGTATCTACCTTTTGTATTCACAGTGGAAATGCAGCATGAGATAAGCTATTTCCTGAACACTCTAGATATAAATATTTCATGATTAAAGGAGGGGATGGAGTTCTGAATACTCTGTGTGTTGGGAATTAAAACCAACTGAGACTGCTTAAAAGACCAAATAACTTGAGTTTGGTTTCTTAAAGTCTTCCTTATATACATCTGGCTGTCAAATCTGAGTGCCATTATAAACATTCTTGATAGAATAGCATTCCTTGTTCTATTCTAAGAGGGCTTCATTGAGATACTTAGAACCAGGAACATCAGTAGGCTCACTTGATAATTTACTAAATAATTACATTCATTTTGCTGAGTTCAATATATTAGAAAAGAAATGGACCTGAAGCCTGTGAACTGTGTTGATTATATTATTAGCTTTTCATAGTATAACAAGGAGTGTTCCTAGAATACACTGCTCTGTGGACAATTTAGTCCTTAAATACATAAAAGAACAAGCTAATAATTTATGCTGATAATTCAGGTTTTGTTGCAGAAACCTTGGTTGCTTCCCTTTGATTCTACATGTAGATCAAGAGTAGTTCAAGAGGTTTTGTTGCCTGATACATGGGGTAATATCACATTTCATGTACAGAAACTGACAATGGTAGCAGCTGAATCTTTCAATGCTGGCTATGGAAGAGCATCTTCCATCAAACATGAGGGGGACAGGCTAGCCTAGGGGAGCTGGGCCAGGCTTTCTGGCACATGTACAGTGGTGCCTTGCTAGACGATGGTAATCCGTTCCACTGAAATAACTGTTTAGCGAAATCATTGTCTAGCGAAAAACATTTCCTCATTGGAATGCATTGAAACCTGTTTAATGTGTTCCAATGGGGAAGAATCGTCATTGTCTAGCGAAGATCGGCCATAGGAAAGCCTCTTTGTGAACCGCCGATCAGTTATTTAAATCGCTGTCTTGTGAAGCTTAGGTCCCGAAAACACCCGTTTTACGAGTGCGGAGGGAGCTGTCAAAATCGTCGTCTAACGAGAATCTGTTTGCGAAGCAGGGACCAAACATTGTCCAGCAAAATTCCCCCATAGGAATCACTGTTTTGCGAATTGCTATAGCGATCGCAAAAAGCCAATGTCTAGCAAAAAAAACTGTCATGCGGGGTAACTGTCTAGCGAGGCACCACTGTAATACTAATCTCCAGCACACAGAATGGTATGGGAACTCAGAAGGAATGGCTTTCCACATTCCAGTATGTGCCACCTGAGGCAGCTTAAGCACTTCGCCTTAATTAATGATGGTATTCCTAGGCAGAGAATTGGGGCATCCCAATTCCTTGAATCCATCTGCTATGTGCCACCTGAGGCAGCTTATGCACTTCGCCTTAATTAATGATGGGGCTATTCCTAGGCAGAGAAGTGGGGCATCCCAATTCCTTGAATCCATCTGAGGACTGGTTTCTGGCACCCCTAATTCTCACACAGCCTCCACACAGACTGAGTGAGAGGAAAGCATGCATTTCCTTTCCATCCTTGAGTTCTCCTAGGTGTGGCGTAGAGAGAGCCACAGTTCTCCTGTGAGTCCTTGTGGTCTAGCAACACATTTGTTTCAGTTATGTCTAGTTTGTCCACTGGTAGACCTGAATGGTGATGGAAGCCATTTGGTAACAGGGGTGGTGGGTTGATGTCTGCCTTGTCACACAAGGTTTGTTCATGTGTTCTGGAAGTGGTCCGTTTTTGAGAGCCTCCAAAAAAACCCCCATAAAGGTTGCTTTTACGAAAGATAAACAGCCTGGTGACAGAAAAGGGAGGAGCTAGAAATGCAATGAGGAAGCAGTATGTTGGAATCTGTGTCACAGTGTGGAACTTTGAACATGTTTTGAGGTAGAGAAACTGTGTATTAACATTCCTTACTCAGAGTGAAGAACTTTGAATGCTTTGACTTGAGGTATCTTTTTCCCCTCAGAATATGGAATTAGGACTAGTTATATTCGGTGAATTGAGGCAGCTGGAGATTCTGGGACAGAAATGACAACCTTCTAGCCATTCCCTGGCTGTTCCACTCTCTTTGGATTTTCCCTAGCTGCACACCTTGCATTTAGCCTTTTTTTCCTTGATGGATCATTGGAAAATAAACATAGACTTAAATTGCAACTCTCATTGCTGGAGCACAAAGAAACCTGTTGTCAGAAGGGAATGTTTTAATTGGAAGAAGCATGCATTCCTCTTGACACCTAGTTTGAGACCCTTTGAGGCATGTGGTACCTAGGAAAGGTCAATATGTGAAGAGATTGAGGAATTAGGAAGGTCTGAGTATGTTTGAGCAAATGCCATGGCCTGAAATGAAATAGTTCATCCTGTCATATCTGAGTCATCATGCATGAAGATAACACAGCTGGTAAGGCAGTACTTTTTGGCTGCTTTAAATGTGGACAGGTGGGTCATAGCTGTTTTTATTTTCACAAGGCAGAGAATGCAGACATACAATAATGTAATCAGGTTTTTCTAGAATTTAGTTTTACTCTGCATCTGTATGTGAGAACAGACGTGTAGATAATGGGAAATTGAAATTACTGTCTGTTATGCATACATGGTTATTTGTCGTCCTGCTGTTGCTGTGGTCAAGGGGTTAGTTGGCGTTTTGTGAACTCAGTTTTACACCTCTATACAAAATTTCTGAATGGAAATGTAAATTGGAAGAATCCACACAGGACATGAAGGAATTGTTACTTTACCCTTCCACCTTCAGTTTTCTGGAAGAAAGTAATCCCTGTCTTGTCTTCAGTCACTAATTAACTGGATGCCAATTTGAACATCTACTTTTCATTTGCTCACCTTAGGCCTGTGCACACCGTTGGAAAAATATCTATTATGAAACAGAATATATACTTCCTCATGGCTTTTGCAAAATCATCCCACCCAATCTGGAGCCCAATGGTAAACGGTTGATGCCCTGTTATGAAGGTAAGAGGTTCAAACTCCCATTTTCACGTTTTTGTTTCTTTATTATTTCTGGTGGCGGAGATGTTCACAGTTAACTTCTCCTTCACCAAAAAACAAAAAACAAAACCCATACTCTGTAGACTTTGTCAGTTTGTCTTCTGTTAACTTCTCCTTCACCAAAAAAAAATAAAAAAATAAAAAAAATACTCTGTAGACTTTGTCAGTTTGTCTTCTTCATGTGGACATAAATTGTGTCTGATCTCTAAACTCAACTGAGATATAATTACAAGTGGTATCCCTGTGACTAACAACATAAATATAGAGAGTTGTTTCTTCTTGGTGGCTGTTTTCCTTCATGCCCACCAAAAATGAACCTGAATAGTGTTTGAATGCAGAGTGAAAATTTTGCTGTCCAGGCAAGCTTTCAGCAGCTATTGTCAGAAAAGCTTATGCTATTTGCTTATTTTTTAACAATGCATTTCTACAAATGTATGTACTGTACTGATTTTTAAAAATGTATTCAATTCTGTGTAAATATGGCAGCTTAAGTGTTGAATTCTATAATACAAACAAAAAACTGTGGCAACTAAAATAAATCTGCTGGTCTTTAAGGTGCCACAATATTCTTGTTTGCTTTTTTGTTTACTGTTACACATGTTGAAACAAACTGACATAGAGATAGCTTTGAAACAGCACTGAATAATTAGTTTTCTGCTTGCTACAATCACATATAATGCTGTGGGACATTCCACTGAGGTTCCTCCCAAATCTGTATTTATAGATACTCATAGGATTTCATTTTTTTTTCATATACTGTATTTCTATGTTGATTGGCAGAACCTGGAAAAGTTATGTTTTTAAATTACAGGTCCCAGAACACTGTAGCCAACATGACCAGTGGCCAAACTACCTGGAGGATTCTCACATTTGTAGTGTAGAAATTTGTAGAAAGTAACATTTCCAAATTGAGATGGTAGCATTGCTATTATGACCCACCTTAGATCAGGTGGGGAGCTGGTAGTAGATTCTGACCTGCAGATTGCAGAATGAATGTATTTAAATAAAGACATGTGCTTTGACATATTCCTTCAACAATCTCCCAAAATAATTACATGGACTCACCACTTTCTTTCTTTCTTCATTCAACTCCTCCTTTCAAGTTTAACAACCAAAAGCCTGGTGCCCACAACTTGATCACCTTTGCTTCTCTGTTCCTCAATTATATTACTCCATTTGTTTTCCTGTAGATCAAAATGTAGATTGGAAGCTTCATAGAGCAGAATCCTCCCCCTTCTTTATTTTTAAACATTTAACTTGTAGAATGTCATGTACATTGATGGTATCAGAGGAAAAACTAGTACAGTAGATGTATTTCATTCTTTCATCAGAGGGGTCTGGGTAAGCATGTCACTTGATGTTGTCATTTTGTCTACACAATATGTCTGTGGGTGAAGAAAAACTAGTACAGTAGATGTATTTCATTCTTTCATCAGAGGGGTCTGGGTAAACATGTCACTTGATGTCATTTTGTCTACACAATATGTCTGTGGGTGAAGACTAGACTGAGAGAGAGAGAGACTTGGATAGTGTCTTTCATGGTTGAGCAGAAATAATAGAATCATTGAAAAATGAAGTTGGAAGGGGACTACAAGGCCATCAAGTCCAACCCCCTGCTCAATGCAGGAATACAATCGGAAGCATATCTGGCAGGTGATTATCTAAGTTTTTTCTTGAATGCCTCCAGTGTGGAGCCCTCACCAGCTCCCGAGGTAACTGGTTCCACTGTCGTACTGCTCTAACAGTTAGGAGGTTTTTCCTGATATTCAAGAGAAATCTGGCTTCCTTTAACTTCAGCCCATTGTTGCGTGTCCTGCATTCTGGTATGATCGAGAACAGATCCTGCCCCTCCTCTGTATGGCAGCCTTTCAAATACAGTATTTCAAAAGTGCTATCATATTACCCCTCAGTCTTCTTTTCTCAAGGCTAAACATGCCCAATCCTTTCAGCCTTCCCTCATAAGGCTTGATTTCCAGCCCCCTGATCATCTTTGTTGCCCTCCTCTGAACTTGTTCCAATTTGTTAGCATCCTTCTTGAAGTGTGGTATCTAGAACTGGACACAATATTCAAGGTGAGGCCTAACCAGTGCTGAATAGAGGAGGATTAGTACCTTGTGGGATTTGGAAACTATACTTCTATTAATGCAGCCTAAAATAGTATTAGGCTTTTTTGGAGCCACATCACTGTGTTGGCTCATATTTAGCTTGTGATCTACGACGGTTCCAAGATCCTTCTCACTCATAGTTTTGGTCAGCCAGGTATCCCCCGTCTTGTAACTGTGCAGTTGGTTTCTTTTTTCAAGGTGCAGTACTTTGCACTTCTCCCTGTTGAATTTCATTCTGTTGCTTTTGGCCCAGTGCTCCATCCTATCAAGGTCATTTGGAATTCTGTTTCTGTCTTCTAGGGTATTAAATGTGAATGTGAATCTCACATACTTAAATCTTAATAAAACCAGAGTTCGAAAACATTTTTCAAAATTATAACTTCCACAGTCTCTCAGTAACTGGGATAAAACCATCTAAGTTCTCCAAGCTTTGCTTTTATGATGTAAGCTTCTCCTTGTGTACCTGAGGTGGGAGATGGAAGGGGGACAAACTCCAATGCTCAATATAAGCCTTCAGAAGGTGGTATTGTCCCTCTCAACAAGGTCTTTAGGGAGGTCTTTCGGAAGATACTCTAGTAGTTTCATTTTTTAAAAAATGAATGTTGGTTTTCCTTCCTTCTACTTGGGAAATGTGTCTGAAATGGTGCATTTTGGTGGAAATAATTTTTCCCATCTTTTCCCTTTTGCCTTTGGTGGAAACTTGGCTTCCTGGTGATATTGGAAAAGTAACAATTCATCTTCATTAACTTTTCTTTGTCTAAGAGATGTGCTTAAAGAATGAGCTCCCTTGAAAAATTGAACTCTTCACACTGAAGGCTGGAAGTGGCCAGAGTGTAGATGGATTGTGTTAATTAATTAAATGTATATTCCACTTTTTACCTGGAAGCATATCATGGTTGTGATGTGCTGTTTTTTCAGCTGTTGGTTTTTGAGAATGTTTGTGGGGAGCAGTGAAGAAAGCAAGAGCTGGAGAGCAAAACTAGGAACTGCAGATTTAAATTGGATTTTGCAGATGGTTTGGTTAACCCTTCTTCCTCCCATGCGATAGCTGGTTAAGCTGAAAATAAATAAATAGGAAACGGACGTTTGAAAAGATTGTGAGAAAGAGATCAAAAAGCAATGTGGGCCTGGAAACTATAACTGTTTTCACTTCAGATGATTAACAAATTGCTCACAGGCACAACTGTTTGGTGGTGGAGAAGGATGTCTATTTGGTTCCATCTTTGGATGCAAGATCTCTCTTCTGTAATAAAATGAAAAGAAACCATAAAATCCTCCCACTTTGAAGATTGCTTTACCTTGTTTTCCCTTTCTGTTGGTAGCATCAGTCTTGAGGGACTAAGAAGCATTGCACATTCATATAGTGTTTGCTTTTGTTACATATGAGGGAGCCTAGATAAAGGAAATCACCCGTTGGGATTGAGATCTCCTATTTGATTTGTTTTATTTCAATGTGCCTCCTGTTTTAAAACTGAACAGCCCCAGCAGCCAGATATCAGCCAGGAATTGCTTAAAAATGAAAGAGCACAGACTGAAGAGTCACAAGAAAGTCAGTGGAAAATTAGCTGTTTTGGCAGAGCTTATTGTGCAATTTATTGTACTGCAAACAGGACTGGAAATCGAGGACTTGCTAAGATTGTGTGTGAAGTGCCAAACTGCAGTGTCACCAAGGGAAAGGAGGCGACTGAGTTTGTGAACTCTGAAACTATCAGCTTTTAAATATAGTTAATTGTCTCCATCTTCCTCGGAAGAGGTGGCTGTAGTCCATTGCTCAGAAGGAGGCTTGATTTAACATTGACTGGGATCCTCCCTTCCTATAACAATCCTTTTTAATGCACCCGTCAGGAAGAAACAATAAAATATTTGGCTGCAAATCTGCCCTTTAAAGATAAGGCAAATGGAAGTGGTGGGTGGGATGGAAATAGTACAGTTGACTATGAAATAGTGGTCCAATATTTTAGTAGATGTAAATTTTGAAAAAGTCAGATTTGATCATTTTCATTTTTTTATGAGGCCTTGGTGCCCACTGGTCTCAGCAGGTTATGTGCATTCATTTTCCACAGTGGAGGAATGAGCCCTTCTTTACTCAGACCAGATGCTGCCAGTGTTATAAGATAAAATCTTATAGCATGTGAACCTAAAAGCTTTAAATCCAGTTGTTAGTCTCAACCAGAGTAGAATGATTGTATCAGTGGGATTTATGTTCATGTTGGCTTTACAAGTCTCTTCGTTTAGTGGTTCTGACAGTTGGATGTAGGGATGCAGGCCCCCCCCCAAAATTTTTTGGCACAGTTGTGGAATTTTAGCTAAAACCCTCTAGCTAACCAGCTGGTGGCGCAGAGACCTACAAAGCAGAATTAGCTTTAAGTCTCCCCAGAGAAGACCACCCCTTTTGCTTCTGTCATCAACTGGTACTTACACTTTCAACAACACACTCTGAGACATTGGTAAGAGAAAGAGTAAAATCTTCACAGTTCTGAGCAGTTAAAAAGCAGCATATTGTAGAAAAATAATGGTTACATGAACAACCCTTAACTGTTTATAACTGTGAACAGGCAGGAAAAGGGCAGGAAAAAGACTCTTAAGTGGAGAGGTGTGGCTCTTTTCAAAACCAGAGGTGGAGAGGGAACAATTGGTTACTATTTATTTATTTATTTATTTATTTATTTATTTATTTATTTGTTTGTTTGTTTGTTTGTTTGTTTGTTTGTTTGTTTGTTTATCTGTTTATCTGTTTATCTGTTTATCTGTTTATCTGTTTATCTGTTTATCTGTTTATCTGTTTATCTGTTTATCTGTTTATCTGTTTATCTGTTTATCTGTTTATCTGTTTATCTGTTTATCTGTTTATCTGTTTAT